GATAAAATGTGAGGAAACAATGAAGATCTTGAGTAAGCCGAGACACTGAAAGCAAATTATTTCTAAATTGGGGAACAAACAAAACATTCTCAAGTTTATAGTATGGAGTAAGGAAACAGGAACCAAGATGGGTTACAAGGACATGTTTACCATCATGAAGAGTAATGAACCGTGTGGATGAATCACAAGTAGTAGGACAATCCAAGCTCTTAAAATCATATAAAATATGGTCTGTTGCCCCTGTGTCAATAATCTATTTAAGCGAAGCATTAGATTGTATGGAACTATTAGGGAAGATACCTGCAATATTAACCGCAGAATCTGATGGCTTTTTCAACAGCTGCATAATTTGAGTGTATTGCTCTTGAGTGAACACTGGAGCAGAAGGCATAGCACTTGAACTAACAACATGATTAGAATAAGCAGATGTAGACAAAGAGTCAATATAAACACTCGAATTGGCCACAACATTTTCTTTCTTCTTTGTGGACTTGTAATTCGGGGAAAATCCGATCAATCGATAGCATTGATCCTTCTTGTGATCCTTAATTTTGCAGTAGGCACAAGTTCCAGAGAAACGTCTACGATCAGGAGTAGCAACAGAATTGGAAAAAAATGCTTATGTATCATTAGCAGCAGCCACCGAGAGGTGAGACATTTGAGACTCTTCTTGAATCATCATGGAATAGGCTTGATTCACCGTTGGCAGAGGTTGCATGAGTAAAATCTGACTTTTAATTGCTGAATAGGAGTCGTTTAAACCCATCAAGAACTGAAACAGCTTCTGTTGAACGAGATGCTTCATATTCTGCTGGGAAACTTCGCAATCGCAGGCAGTGAAGGGAATCAAGGACTCGTACTCGTCCCATAACATTTTCAAGCGAGTAAAAAATCCAGAAACAATAGATTCACCTTGACAAAGAGTAGCAATCTCTCTATGCAAGAAAAAAATACGAGAGCCATCTACCTTATCAAATCGTTCCTGTAGATCACTCCAAATAGACGCAGCGCTGGAGGCAAATACCAGCCCAGTCGACAAATCCTTACTGACGGTGTTCAGAATCCAAGAGAGAACCACCGCATTGCACCGATCCCACTGGACTTGTAAAGCGTCGCTGAAATCACTACACTGACAAGAACCGTCAATAAACCCTAGCTTGTTCTTGGCCAGCAATGCAATCTTCATCGAGCGACTCCAGATGCTGTAATTGTCTAACCCGACGAGTGGTTGAGAGACGAGGAGAAGCCCAGGCATATCAGAAGGATGGAGGTACAGACGATGAGTAAAATCAATTTCCTCAGTAGAAGGCATGTCGAGAGAAAAAAAGGAAGAGAAATTGGGGAGAAAAGAAATTACACGAGGATGGGCGAGTATGAAACAAAAATAGAAAAGAGTGCCAAAAAAACTAAAGAAGCAAAAGATAGAGGACCGAATTTAGGCTGATACCATGTTGAAAAATACTTCTGATTTCATCTATATATCAAATGTACACAAATTACATATTTATAGTTTTAATACTAATGTAACTGCTTTTAACTGACTTCTAACAAACTCCTAACAGCATAACAATATTCAACTAATTTACTATACTCAACACTCTAGTACTTTTGGTGGTGGAGTAGGTGGTCCGAGGGGCTCGAGTTCGAATTTTGGCGATGATATTTTCAGTTCTTTCGACGGCGGCGGAGGCACAAGAGGCATTCGATTCTCGGGTTCGTTTTTTCGAGATGACATTTTCGGTTCAATGCACCAAAGTCTCCCAAGAAAAGTAGCTCCAATGGAGAATAAGTTGCTTTGCAGCCTTGAAGAGTTGTACAAAGGGACTACCAAGAAAATAAAGATTTCTAGAGAGATTGCTCACATCAGTGGGTAAAATATCTTTTATTTCTCAGTTTGATTCAATTACATTGCTTCATTCTAACACTATGATGCCTTTATCTTTGTATATTTGCCTTCATCTAAGGTTGCATCAGACGTAAATCAGAATGAGGACGGTAACGATTTTGCGAATTTTCGGAATCCCCGGAATTGAACATATATAAACGAATGAATTCCAAAGTGAGCTGATCTAGTGTATAGGAGTTCGATTGTGAGTAATTAAGAGTAGATTTTGCAGCTTTGGTCATATTTTCTCATTAGCTTTTTCGGTTTAAAAGTTAACCGAAGTCTCTTAGCGAGCACCATATCTATGTGCACATTGGTTCTTATCGAGGCTCCTATGAACATGGAGAGAATGTATAGGTTTAGGGACCGTTTTCGTAGTTTGTTTAACCTTGTGCATGCAAGCAGTCCTTTTGGAGGATCAATATAGTCTATTTTAAGTAATTTCGTGCTAACATACCGGACTTTAGTTTCGGAGTGTCTCCTAGCGAGCAACATATCGATATGCACATCAGTTCTTATCAAGGCTCCTATGATCATGGGGAGAACGTATAGGTTTAGGGACCGTTTTAGTAGTTTGTTTAACCTTGTGCAGCTAAGCAGTCCTCTTGGCTGATCAACACTCTCTTTTAAGCAACATACCGGACTTTAGTTTCGGTTACCCAGATTTACTTATTGCAATACGTTTTCAGGAAACATTGTTTCTGTGTTTTTGTGTGCATGCATGATTTCTTGATGCAATGGAATTCAATGGTAAATTTGCTATTTGTATATGTGATATGCAGGAAAACCATGCAAGTGGAAGAGATTTTAACCATCAATATGAGGACTGGATGGAAGAAAGGCATGAAAATCACATTCGCGGGGAAAGGGGATGAACAACCAAAAGTTACACCGGTCGATCTAATATTTATCATCGACGAGAAACAGCACAATGTGTTTACTCTGGATGACAACGACTTGATCGTCGCACAAAAGATCACTCTCGTCGACGCCTTGTACGGTATTACGTTAATCTTGCTACCCTGGATGACAGGAATTTAACCGTTCCAATTCACAATGTAAATCATCCTCAGTACGAGGAAGTGGTTCTGAGGGAAGGGATGCCTATCCAAAAAGACCCTTCTAAGAGAGGAAACTTGAGAATCGAATTCGACATCAAGTTCCCGACACGGTTGACGACGGAACAGAAATTCGGGCTCAAGAAAATCATGGGTCCTCGACACTGACATTCGCTTATGTTGTTTGGTTCTTTACATTTGCTGCTTGAGAGATTACTGGTTTCTCTGAAAGCTCCCCACATGTATGCTTGACAACAGGAAATATGGTTTGCATTGTTACGTTTGAGAGATTAACGGCGCCTGCAAGTAACTTAGAATATATCCTTATATAAATTTATCTTAACATTTGATTGACCAATAAATGCTCGTCGATAATGCGGTAAGTATCACATCATCATTTTAAGTATACTATATGTCACATTCACTTTAGATACTTATTATATGTTACATCATCACTTTAAACACATTACATTGACTTATTAATATGCAACATGTTTGACGAAAACTCTTTCTGGATATATAGTATTTGTCAATTTAACCAGATATCATTTTAATTTAAAATAAAAAGTTAAAGATTAAAATGCTTATAAAATAAAAATCAAAATGATTATTTAATAAACAGAAAATATGATGATTGATTATCTACGGTGTTTATGTTAAATCAACAATTAACATAAATATACATATTTCATTGATTAAAATAAAGGGTAAAGTACACAAATAGTCATTTGACCATAGGGTGATGTTTTATTGAGTCTCTTAACTATTAAAAGTTATAAAATTATCCTAATCGGATATCCTATTAGATGGAGAGGTCTCGTTTGAAGACTTTGATTGGTAGAAAGTTGGCAGTTTCAATAAGTCCGATATGAGGGAGTATTGAAAGTTTCCGAAAGCCGTCTCGGAAGGTTAACAATGGTCATTAAATGTTTTTGTTTAGTTTTTTGGTTCGAAGATAAATTTTATTTTTAATTGACGACATATAAAATAATTTAGTAGTTTATTTTATTATATTTTAAAAATATATGTTATCAATAATATCCGTTCAAATCATGACAAAATATATAAAATGGGGATTAAAGAAATTAAAAATTTTAAAAATCACATAATCGATACTTACAATATCCGTTCAAATTTCTCTCCTTAATTATTTTTTATTTTTTAATTTAAAAAAAGAAATTAAAATATTATTTGAATCAAAAAATATATAGATTATCATTTGATATATTAATTGCTAAATTTTTATTTATACAAACGTGGTTTTTGTTTCATCATCACAAATTTTTTGATTTTTTTTTTGTATACAAGATGAGAACAAAAACCAATTACTGTCTCAAAACTCTTGCACCATTTTTGTCAGCTCTCAACAACTCGAGTAGTTCAATTGGAGCCTCTTGTAGAAACGAAGTTTCTTGTTCTTGAAGCAGTGCAAGGTTAGCTAGTTTATCAGCGCACTTATTTCCTTCTCGCCGTATATGTCTAACTTCTACAACCCAACCTTCCTCCATTAATTAAGAATTCGTAACCGTTATTATTAAGTATTATTATGGGTAAAGTCGGATTTTCCACCAATCTAAATACATTAAAAAATAAATTATTCGATATGCACTCGACTTGACTTAGGATTTTAGAGGATTCCACCCGACCTAATATTTTAGGTCAAAACTCGCATCCGATTGGACATATATGTAATCATCTTCGTTAGATATAATAAATATTTAATTAAAAAATAAAAAAGAGTATTATTATTATAATTATATCTAAATATATCAGAAATAATTATAATATTATGTTGAATCGGGTTGGATTTTTCCACCATAAACCCTAATCTAACCTAATCCCATCCTATAAAAGAAATCTGACATGAACAAAATCCGGATATTCAAAATTAAGAATCGATCCGATTAAATCGGATTGAGTCGAAATTAGTTGGATCGGAGTAAAATATGCATCCCTAGTTAGTATATCAAATGATTATCCATAGTATTTGGAATTTTGTATGTAAATGACAATGAGTAGGAGAATACAACAATAGGTGAAATGCATACGTTCGGAGCTTAAACCGAAGAGTAGGAGTTTGCCTCGATCCAGTTAAAAGCTACAGGGCCTAGAAAAGCGCCGGGGATGCCGAGCGAAGTGACCGAAGCGAGAGCATGCGGTCGAAGTTCGTGGCAGAGTTTCGCTATTTCTCTCCTCACATCGGCACAATTGTCGATTGATAGGTACCGGTATCGGAGATATGAAACATCTTCGATACATGTTAAGGCATATAATGATCTCAGTGTACGTAGGATATCCTGCAGAATAAGGTCATTTTGATTTTGTAAAGTCGGGTGGGGTTTCGAAATGGCTGGCCAAGTCATTCAGATTAGGAGAAACATTAGATGATGTTAACCTTCATTGAACCAGAAGGTAGAGTTGCTTCTGCCTCGATAACTGTTTGACATATTGCTCGATCGGAGAAAGTTCTGCTCAAATCCTCTGCTAGCTGATAACACCGGTGTGCAAGAGTGATGGTGAGAATTAGGTTAAAAGGACTTACAAAAACGATAGCAATTCAGACGAACAAGTGTGTTTCCTAAGGAAGGCCTGCTGGGTACTTTCTCCTTTGGCTTCACGTTTTGCGACGTCCGCAACGAAACGATTTGAAAGATCCCTCTCCCTTGAGCACAAGGCATCCATCTGGTACGTGACATTAGTTAGAGACCCCCACGGATATTAATATGGTATGTCACGAACAGAAGAACTGATGATACTAGTATAATACCTGGAACCGACTGCATCGGAGGGTCGTGCTAGTAAGCAGTGATGGAATGACAGGGCAGGGTTCATTCATGTGTTCTAGCCAAGACCCTTGAAAGCCTTGTTTCTTTTCTGAGCTGCCATGTATTCAGCAAAAAGAGAATTGCTGACCTGCTGCATCAGAAGTCACTTGCACATCATATTCGCCTTTCAGATGACGGACACGATTGTCGGTCTTGAATCCTTGTCCTCCACAAGCTTCACAACATTCCTAAACCATTCGACAATCGAACCTCTGTAATGTCACTTATGGTTAAAACCATCCAACTTAATCCAGGATCGTTCACCTGAAGTATTTACATGTTATTCCAAGGGAATGTAGCTTTTAACGAACTCAAAACTATATGAATGGTTTTGTTCGACACATATAGCATCTTCAAGTAAATTGCTGCAAAACTCATAGCATAGCTGCAGATATAAAAGCAAATAAATGGAGCAATTATCAAAACCATCTGTTCTAGATCCATGCAAAGGATGGCATGGTGAGTCAAGCTAGAAGTATTGTAGTCGGGAGCGAATTACACAAGACAAACCGTCGATGCCCTTAGAGGGATGAGTAGTCGTCGATGACTCGGATAATCTAGCAATAAGACCTAGGGTTCATTTGGTTTGAGGGAAAAGCCTGCCTTGTTAGTGCATACCTAATGGCAATTGCTAAAGCAACCTACATGGGAGAGCAAAGACATGGTGTTAATATCAGGCCACCCACACCCGAAAAGACACGATGTTAGTCAATATGACTGTTTGTAGATCGAAAGGCTAAATATATCTGATAATCAAACCTTTAATTTTATCACATCATCATTCACTATAAATTATTATGTTAATATCATGGTTTGGATTTTGATTTGTTTCATGCAGTGAGGTTCTTCCTGGTTGCTGATTTATTAATCTATTTTACTTATTTTTCTTGTTGTGCAGTATGGCTAATCATAAAAAAATAAGGGGGAAATGATTACTTTGACTAATCATAAAAATCTAGAAATTAAAAAAATTTGGCGGTAAATTAGATATAAAATCATTCTTTAAGGACCTATTGAAATGTTTTAATAATAATTTAAAGATAAAACTAAATATTATTCTTTTTGTTAACGTCGTCACGTCGTCAATTTAATATAGATAACAGTACAATGATCATTTTGTTACAAATAAATAACATTGGTGAACAATTTGTTACAAATCGATAATACTAGTGACCAATTTGTTAATTCTGAAACTTCTATGAGGCAAACAAAAACTTACTAAAAATTAGTGACTATTTGTGTAGTTTAGTTTTTTTTATTCAGGAGAGATATATTGTACTTACTAAAGCAAATGTTCAGATTTAAACTCGCTTATGAATATCCTTAATCACATTGGTGGAATACATCATTGTTCTGATGATGAAATGCATACGTTTATCGGAGCTTAAACCGAAGACCAGGAGTTTGCTTCGATCCAGTTAAAAGCTATAGGGCTTAGAAAAGCGTCGGGGATTCCGAATGAAGTGATCAAAGCAAGCGCAAGCGGTCGAAGTTCGCTGCAGATTTTGGTTATTTCTCTTCTTACACCGGCACCATTTTCGACTGATAGGTACCCGTATCGAACATGCGAAACATCTTCGAGACAAATTAAGGCATATAATGATCTCGGTGTACCTAGGACATCCTGCAGAATAAGAAAATGAAAGATAGTAATGAGGCCCTAGTAGGATTCAGCTTGGTCATTTCGAGCTCAAGCCATTTAGTTTTCGATTTAGTAGTCGGGTCGGGTTTCGAAATGGCTGGCCAAATCATTCAGAGTAGGAGAAACATTAAATGATGTCAACCTTCAATGAACCAGAAGGTAGAGTTGCTTCTGCCTCGACAAACGTTTGAAACATTGCTCGATCCGAGAGAGCTTTGCTCAAATCCTCTGCTAGCTGATAACACTGGTGTTCAAAAGTGATGGTGAGACTTAGATTAAAAGGACATAAAAAACAATAGCAATTCAGACGAACATGTAGTAGTTTTGACCAATCTGTTACTTTAGAAATTTCAATAAGGAAAACGAAAATTTACTCAAATATTAGTAGTTATTTGTGTAATTTGTCCTTTTTAATTTTATATATTTATTGTATCATATTAATATTCCGTTAAAACTTAACGATAGTTTACCCTCAATAACTAAATATATTTATTGTATGATATCAACATTTCGTCAAAAATTCGTACTAATCAATTAATAAAAAATTAAATAAAAGTTGACATCTAGTTATCACGTGTCCACTATGATTTGTTTATTTTAATATGTTTTTGTATCTAGTTTGAGATAAAGCAGTGTTCGCCGGTTGCCTTAAAACAATCCTTTTTCTTTATTTTTCTTTACTGACATAGCAGTACCTTCAATGCCAGAACTTGGTAACAGAGATTGAGTACCAACTTATTTTTTTTTTAAAAGTAAGAGTTTAAATTAAGTTTTTTAAATTGTTTTAAAAGGTTTTAGTTTATATTTTTTCCAAAACAATTAGGATCTAACTATAATTTTTAAATTTTTGAGAAACTTAATAAGAATTTTTAAAAATTATGGGAGGGGTTTAATTAAGAAATAAAAAATAAAATTAATTTGAATTTCTAAAAATTTTAGAGACTAAATTGATTTTTTTTTTAAATTTTTTAAATTTTGAGGGGCCATGACGTCCTCTAGTCTAAGTTATATTCCGCCTCTGACCACCTTTAATATTGATCATCTATCGTCTGTTTTCTTTATTTTTCTTCTATTTTTTAGATTGTATCTTTATTTTTTTAGTTTTCTCTAGTTTTCAATAACTTTATCTTTACGATACACTTTTATTTTATTTATCAATTATTTGACCTTTTTCGTTTAATATTTTTAGGGTTAGATTTAACATTGTCACGACTGATTAAGATGATGCTTATTTATTATTTTGTTGATCTTCTCTACTTTGGACCATCAAATTGGACGAATACACGATTTGTATTCGTAGATAGTTTTCTCACGACATTTGGTTTTGATTTGCGGTTGTCGATGATTTTTTAGTAGCTTAATCCCCTATTATGGTTCGATTGACGATGCAGACAGATTAGTTTGTATCTATATTTTCTTAGAGTTTTTTTATATATTTTAATCTTTGCCTTATATGGTCTTTCTATAATCTCGAGCGATTAATTATTTTAGTCATAAAAATATTTTAATCGTGTGTTTATTTTACGAACTTCGTTATAATTTTAAATATTTTCTCATTCTAATAAAACTAATTACTCTATTTGCATGAAAATAAAAACTATCACATGTCCACTTTATTAAAATAATAAGTTGTTTTATATTATTAATGATTGTAATATTGTTTTTATTTTAATTTTAACAAGATATGATTTTGTTAAAATTATTAAAATTTATAGACAAATCCATTAATTATTAATTTAAATAAGTTATAATTATATAATTATCAGATACTTTTTCTATTATTTTATAGAAAATTAAATATATGTTAGAATCTGGATTAGATAAATTTTATCAAGTTAATATTAAAAAATAAATATAATATAAAAAAATGTGATAAAATATTTATTGTTGTCTATGTTTTTTTAGAGCATTTAAACCGGTGAAATCACCCATATATAACCTTTGGGTTTTTAATTTTCAGTCTATTGCATCTACTACAGTAAAAGTAAATATAACATAACTACATACTGACTTCACTGTTTATCTTTGTTTCTTTTAATTAAGAATTCAAGAACAATGAAATTCGATCTAATTACAAACCGACTTCACTGCAACTCGAACCGGGGCAGTGAACAGAAGATGCAGGCGTGAGGGTTAGGCTGAAAAAAAAAGAGTGAAATGGTATTCTTCTTGAAGTAAAGGCATATTTTTGTCTTGCAAACCCAATCTCATGGGCTTCTCGTGGGAAATGGTAATTCTTCTTCTTCCATGCTAAGTTTCGGCATTGTCACATGTTAATGTCTCCTTAGGTATTTTATATACACGAGTGAAGAATTATTGCAATCTGGGTATTTGTCTATTTGCTGCATAATGAATTTGCTTAAACCTCAAATGATGCATTTCCTTTGACTAGTTCATGAAATTGCAAGAACTACATGTTTATATCTCTTTGATTCTGTTTATATGAAGTTATATTGTCCCACATCGTTTAGATTCTGTTTTATATGAGTATTTGATTCATAAATGCATTGCATAAACCTCAAAGTGATGCTTTCCTTGATCAATTAACGATGTCTCTGTTTTTGCGCATGTATATTTCTATCTGAAAAAAAAAAATGAACAGGCTTGTTCTCGGGTTGCATTCGGGGAAGAATCAATTACAGATACTGTACAAGTTCTGAATAAATGGACTTCAAAACCATTCAGAAATACGATGATTGCTCGGGGAGAACCTTCATCTGCTTAAGCACTAGAGCTACTTTCTTCCGAATCGCGTCCTCATTAAGCAGTTGGATGAGGATTCCCTCGGACCTCTGAAACAATTGTTGGCTAATTCGAGAGTGGTTTAGGATCTGCTGGAATAAGTCCAATGCTTTTGTTTTGGCAGGTAAGGATCCCTTCTCCAGGACCTGAAGGATTGCCTCGACACCTTGGCTCTCTACGATGGCGGCGGTTGCATGTGACAATGTGTTGTGATCTTCTAGCAGTGTTTCGAGAGCCATTAGGGCGGCCTCCGCGACACCCGAGTTTGTGTCGCTCAAAGTTTGCAATAGGGGCTTCACAGCATCGGCCTTGATGAGGCAGAATGTATGTCTTTGTGAACACACGACACCGTGGATAGGACATGAGATTTCTCTGTCCCCCGAGGCCGAGCAGCACCAGGACATGTTAGGGAAGAGATTCGCCATGTTAAACGGTGATATTGAATTCTTTTGCCTTACCCTGATGCTTGAACCAGAGCCTGACAAGCTGGTGGAACGGGACAGGTGTGCGAGAGCAATGGCTGCTCGTTGCTTGGCCAGTGAGTTGCCGGTAGAAAGCACTCGAACTAAGGATGGATATAACTCGAGCTGTCCCACTTGCCTCCGAAGTTCAGGCTTCGAGGGTTCTGTGTAGCGTAGAAGTGCAGCCAGAGCATTTTCAAGTAGAGATTTGTCCTGGTTATTGGGCGCTCCGATCCCACCGAATTCTTCATCTGAACTGCAAATCACTTCATGAATGGCTTTTAAAGTTTCCGACCTAAGGAGTATTTCATCGATATCAATATCATCTTTCGGAAGTTGGCTAATAATCCCTGCAGCAATTGATCTCTCTTCGAAATCCGGTGAACAAGTGAGGATCGATGCCAAGTTGTTGATGGCAGTTTCTTTTATGGGAGATGGTGGAAGTGGAACCCCATCGGGATGACCTTCAGACACACAGTATATTAGCTTCATCGCCCATCTTCTAACGAAAGGCAGGTTGCCATCGAGGCAAGAGAAAAGGTGGTTGATGGCATCTGCGTTAGCTCGTATCAGACTTCGAGTTGTCTCCGACTTATTACTAAGTTCAATCAGCAGGTGTAAGAATTGAATCTTAAACTGAGGATCGGATTTTTCCACAAGCCGCAAAAAGAGACCAACATTATGCTCGGACTGCAGCTCCTGCATCCCCTGGTACATCTGAAATTCTGGAGGCCGGCAAGCTTTTACCAGAAGAGCTAGAATCTCGGAAGCTTCTTGTTTAAGAGTAGGATCCGACCTGAAGGAGATGACATTAAGCACAAGTGGTATAGTCGCTGGGTCGGATAGGAATTGTTTTACCATCTTCGCATATTGGATGAGCTTCTTGACACATTTTATGCAAGCAGATTTACACGCCGGAGAGTTGGAGGATAGCATGTGAACTAGATTGTGAACAAATTGTTCGTCTTTCAAGTCATTTATGCTGTTTTCTTTGAGTTGCATATTCACCAATGCAGCAGCCATCAATGCTCGAGTCTCTTGGTGTCCGACTGCTTGGTTGAATCGAGCAACAAATGACTGATAGTATCCAGCTTCAGCCATCTTCACAACAAAGTGTGTGTTGGATGAAAGATTCCCCAATACACTTCGAGCTTTCGATGCAATATCGGGGTTCGAATTACTGTCCAAAGAAACCAGGAGTGGAATACAATCCTTGGTATTCCCTATATTCTCTACGAGAGCTTCGGTTTTAGAAAGTTCCAACAAGATGCCAATCATATTCGGATCTGTTTCACCGTTATAGATCTGCTTCACGATTCGGCGTACAGCTCCTGCTGCAACAATTTCTTGCTGCAATTCCAAGAAGGAACTCTTCAGACATTTGATATTCAACATGTTAAAAGTAAAAACACAAATCCAATTCTTACCTTATGATCATGGCAGTATTTAGCTAAGCAATAAAGGCATTTCACAGCTGCCATGGCGTTAAGCCTAGCATCTTTTAGTGATTCGACAAACTTCGGGATGAGCCCCTCCTTTGCAGCTCTCACAGCATATTGAGGGGTCTCCACGAGAACCTGCATATCATCCAAGGCTTCGTTTTTCCTCAGATGGTCATCGGAGTTGATTCGGGAGACTGCTGCTTGAAATCTCCAGTCCATATCATTTTTCTTCCATTCTTCTATTGAGGACCGAAGGTTAACATTTTGTGTTAGCTCCAAACTTTGAAGCTCTTCTTTGCAAGTGGGACAATCCTTCTTTCCACTCTCGAAGTATCTCCGTATCGCTTTCCGTTCGAAGCTGTGGCCACAAATGACTGCAACCGGATCTACCATCATCTCATTACACAAGGGGCATATGAAGGAACCAATAGGGTATTGCTTATGATATGTCAGGGTCTCCTCGCTTCGTGGACTCGAAACGATTTCAGTACTATACAACAACTGTATCAATTGGGAAAGCTGAAGCGCCTCAGCTTGTTTCTTTTGAACTTCCATCTCTTCTTTTTCCTGCTTCAGAAGTGCCAATTCATTTTGTACCAAAGATGCGTTAGCATCAGCACCAACGGCTTCGGCGATCTTCTCCAGAAGCTTTACAGCATTGTCTCGGTTTCTACTGCTTTGGGATACCGAATTCTCTATTTCCGCAGCAATCGTTTCGGTCGCTAACGCCACTCGAAACTCCATCGTATTCAGCTTATCAATAACCTCATCATTCATGCTCTTCAAGTTCAGTGCCATATCAAGATTAGCCAGCTGCAACGAGGAAATGGTTGAGGCAATATCTTTAGCTAGACCTTGCATCTGTGAAAGCACCGAATGAGAGTGAAGCAAGAACCGAAGACAGCTACCGGACTTATAATCATCGATTATCTTGCAAGCTTTTCGTAACAAGCCACTCAACTTCTCCAGTGCCGCCTTGGTAAAGTCCGATCCCCTGGCAGCTTCTATTTTCCAGACACTTAATGACCCCAAAAGCACGTCCAGCTCGGAAATACTCCTCGAAAACTCTCGAAAGCTGTCCTTCTCGATCATCACATCCCTCGTTTCCCTGGCGAGCTCCACCGTCTGAAGCGCCACACGGTTCCAGAGTTCTTGTAAAACCGCTCCGCCGACGTCCTCTATCCAATACCAAAGTCCATGAGGTAATTATGTAAGAACTAAATGCTTCTTTCCAACTACAAGCTTGGCATGTAGCAGACCTGTTAAAACCATAAGAAAAAAAAACCATAAATTTCGGTTCTTCTTATTCTATAAATTCAGGGTCTGCTTCATTTCCCCAGAAACCTGGAATTTCTCTCTTTTTCTCTCTCTCTCTCCCCCCCCCCTCTCTCTGTGTGTATATAATATTCAACGGAGAATCAGGGAAAGAAAGTGAAAAAAGTTGGAGAGCTAACTAGAATTTTGTTGTCAAATTCAACTGAGGAAGAATACCTTGCTTTTCCTGGGAAAATATTTTCTGTTTTAAACAAAAACTGGAAATTTGAGTTGAGGAGTTCAAGTGACAAAATGGGAAGATGAAGATTTATTGCAGTGGGGAAATGGGGAAGGTGTAAGGAAAATGTTTGAGAAGAGAGAAAGGTCAAAGGATGAGTCATGAAAGTCTCTGTTTCTTTTAACTCGTGTTTAGCGTACAGACTGGGGGCTCTAAAAGTTGAATTCTTCTGTTCTCCTACACACGGAGATGCCACGGCAAACCCCAGCCCTACCGGCCGGCTGGACAACGGGGGTATTATAGTTTAGTTTAGAGTCAATTCCGTCATATGTCCTCAAACTATGATATTCTTTTTAAACTAATCCTTACGCTTTTAAATGTTCCAATATCATCCCTAAACTATGGCTATCATTCTAAATTAGTCCTTAAACTCTTGAATGTTTTATTTTCATCCCCAAACTATATCCTTTGTTCTAAATTGGTCCCAAACTTTTTCAACATTTCAATTTCATCTGAAACTATATGTATATACTAATCACATTCCTTATTAATTAAAGGATAAACTACGCATTTAATACCTAAACTATCAATTTTGATCCGTTTCAGTACCTAAACTTTCAATTTTTTTGAAATCATGCCTAAAGTTTAGTTTTTTGCTTCATTTTAATACCTCGTCGTTAAGTTTTGAAAAAAATAAAAGTTTAGGTACCAAAACACGTTTAGTACCTAAATCATACTTAAGTTTTGAATTTTTTTTTAAATTTAGATACTAAAATGAATCAAAATTGATAGTTTAGGTACTAAACGCGATAAGTTTTTAAAGACGATGTATTAAAATGAAATAAAAAGTAAACTTTAGGTACTAAAATAGATCAAAATTGATAGTTTAGGTATTAAATGTGTAATTTACCGATAATTAAATTGTTAGACTAAGCTATACTAATATATGTTCGGAAAAAATAAAATGTAGGTTAAACTATGGGTTAGAATTAACTACATAATTAGATGAAATTGGGGATGAAATTGAAAGATTTAAAATTTTGGGACAAGTTTAGAATGAGATTCGTCTAATTTAAAACGAGTATCATATTTTAGTGATGAAATTAAAATATTCAAAAGTTTAAAGACTAATTAAAATAAGGGTCATAATTTAGAGGCATATGATGCAATTAACTCTTTATTATAAGGAGGAAAATTTATAGAAAATAGATTTTAAGTTGATGAGTCATAACATTCGAAATCAATTTAAAATTTAAATTATACATTTTGATTTAAAATTCAAATGTGAACATGTTACTTGACCTTATTATATAACTATTGTTTTGAGGTTTAATTATGTTTTTTTTTGTTTTTGTACTCTTCTATCTTTTGAAATATAATCTCACTATATTTATTTTCGAACTAAGGGTTATTTTTGTCATTGTAGTAAATCTAATTTATCATTTTCACATCTATCGTATTTTCGCATAAATTTAATCCTCAAAGTTGTTTAATTATATCATTCTAACTTAAACCCCTAAATTAATATCCATGAACCTGAAACCTGAAACTCTAAACCTTAAATCCTAATTTAAAACTCTTAATTTAGGGTTTTACATTTGGGATAGGGTATAGAATGATGTAATTTAACAACTTCAAGAACTAATTTGATACGAAAATACGATATGAGCGATAATGATAAATTAAATCTATTATAGGGACAAAAATGACCCTTTCGCCTTTTGAAAATTAAAGTTCAATCTATAATATTAATATTAATATTAATCGACTTTAGTTACATAATTTAATTTTATGAATATAGTTATGACAAATGATCTTTCACTTTGAAGATAAATGTTTTTAGTATAATATCTTATCATATTGTAATTGCTGAGTTTAATTACAACTAGAATTAAGTTGACATAAATCTTTAAAATATATATTACTTGGAATTATCTAAGATAAATAAAAAAAATCGAGATAGGTCTTTAAATTGATAGACCAAATTTTTTTATATTAATTTTTTCATTCATAAATTTTGAATTTAAGATTTTGTTCTTCTTATCACTTTAGTTGACAAACATAATTTTTTTACTTATAAATATAAGTGTTCAAACTCAAATTATTTAAACAATTCAATAAGTTACTTATAAATATAAAAGATTAATAAGTGATGAAATTTCATCACCCTGACCGATTCTACTTGTGCCGATGACCCGATTGGTTTACGTTACCAGGTACAGCGTTATCCTTTTGGCTTGTTCAACTATTTTTAATGTTATATAGATATGGTCTAATTAATTAATATTGGGGTAACGTACACAAATAGTCCCTTGACTATAGGGTAATATTTTATTAAGTTTTTTGACTATTAAAAATTACAAAATGATCCTTAGACTATAGGCTGTTACTTTGTTGATTCCTCCGACTATTAAAAGTTACAAAATGGTCACCCAACTATTTAATATGTTCCAAACTCGTCATTTTCCATTAAAAAATTGACAATAATCTGAGTTGGATGTTAACTTGTTGATTGATATATGATAGTTTTTTTAGATTATGGTATCAGATTTTATCATATCTCAATCATCAAATTATCATTCAACTTAGACTATTGTCATTTTTTTAACGAAAAAAGATGAGTTTGGAACATACTAAATAGTCAGATGATCATTTTGTAACTCTTAATAGTCGGATGAATCAACAAAACAACACCCTGTAATCGAAAGATCAATTTATAACTTTCAATAATCGAGAGACTTAACAATACATCACCCTATAATCAGAGGACTATTTGTGTAATATTAAACATCCAACACTAAAAACACTCCTAACTACTAAGCTTTAATTTTTTATTTATTAGTAGTAAAGTCACCATTGTTTCATTAGACAAATAAAAACGCGTTTTTTTACGTCAACTTTAAAAAAATCAAAATGCTTCGCGTTAAATCATTATCACAATTTTTTTATTAATTTAAAACGATTATAAGATAATATTTATTTTAAAGATTATCAATTATTTAATAATTAAAACTTAAAACACATTTTTTTATCAATCACAATCTTTTTAAAACCGAACCGAATTATCATGGCTCAAACATCCCAATAACCCGAAAGCCATGCCATGGTCAATAAAATGATTAGTAGCAGTAGCAGAAAGGGCCGAAGAGGAATAGATATTACCAGTAATCCCTGCAAGAACAAGATCCCTTACTAAAATGATGGAACCGATTTCGGTCTCGGACAACGATCTCTCGGTAGAACTTATCGGAAACATGTTTCATGAAACAATGACAGTCATAACAGATTCGAAGCGCAAATGCAACGGCCAATTTTTCACTATGGTAGCTGAGACTATGCTCCTCATCTTCGATGTCATGTAACACGTTGCTCGTATGGGGAGTGTAGCCTTTAACTCGAAGATCATCGATTATCGAAGTCAAGAATAGTTTGATTTCGTTGGATTTAGGATGTGAATCATCTCCCGAAACAAACTCATAAACCATACCATATCCTCTGCACTGAGCAAACTATAGCCAGGTTTCTTCCCAAGTTTCTTGTCCCTCATTGAATTTCTTACATTCGCTTTCTCATCCCATCTACCAACTCGATCGTATGCATTCGATAAGAGCACGTAATCACCATCGTGATTCGGATCAAGTTCGTAAATCTTCTCCTTTGCTTTCTCGGCCAACTTAAGCTCATTGTGTTTCACACAAGCTCCGAGCAAAGTCCTCCAAATGACTGCATTTGGTCTAGTAGGCATTGTATCGACGAAGTCAAAAGCTTTTTCGAGCAACCCTGCACGACCAAGTAAATCGACCATACAACCATAATGTTCTACCGTCGGTTCCATCCCGTAATCGATCTTTATACTCTCGAAAATGCCCTGCCCTTCCTCCACGAGTCCCCCATAACTACAAGCCACTAAAACACTGTTAAAAGTAAGCAGGCCCGGTCCTGACATATTAAAGGTCCTAAGTCAGAAGGTGATGACAAGAAGACAAGTGGGGGCCTATACCTAGATTTCTCTTATCATTAAAATGGAGCCCACTAAATTACTATATTTTTGAGTTTTTTAAATAAAAAAATTATGTTTAAATTTTTTTTAATTATTGGGCTCACTAAATTACTATATTTTCGAGTATTTAAAATAAAAAAATATGTTTAAAAATATTTTTTAATTATTAAACTTAAAAATAATTTTAAAAATGAGCCCCCTCTTGGGGCCTAGGCGGTCGCCCCCTAGCCTATGCTCAGGGCCGGCCCTGAAAGTAAGATGATCAGGCTTCAATCCAGCTTCTTTCATCTTATGGAACACTTCCAACGCTTCTTCACCGTGCCCGTGAACGGCCAGCCCGTTGATCCATACCGTCCAAGTCAATATATTTTTCACAGGCATGCCATTGAAAATGTTTATGGAATCATCAACAGAGCCGCATCTGGAATACATATCAATCAACGCAGTACTCAATGAGACGGTGCGATTCAACTCGGCTCTTGAAATATAAGCATCAACCCATTTACCCAATTCCAAAGCTCCTAAGCTTGAAACCGCTGATATTACACTAAGCATGGTAACTTCATCGGGCTTAAGATTTCTAGCCAACTGCATTTCTTGAAACAAGCCCAAAGCTTCATACCCAAGGTTATTATTTGCGAAACAAGAGATCATACTAGACCAAGAAACCAAGTCTCTGACCGGCATTTCATCGAACACGTCGAGTGCACCAGC